CCGCCTTTAAGGAAGCAACGAGTAACTAACAAGTAAACTTCTAAATGAAATTCCAACGGCGAGGTATTCCGCTATAAATCAATCCGTGACGCTGAACGGGAAGCATCAGCGTGTACCCCGAGCCATTTCAGCCATTCCACGCCTCGAATTCTCGCCGGCGAATTAACAAAAACGAAAACTCACTTTCGAACCACCCCTGGACCGAGGAGCGTGACGGGGGATTCGTAAGAACGGCGAAAGAAAGCGAAGAGGGAAGAGGAGAGACCGCAACCTGACCACGGGGGGAATAGAGAAGATCGATCCTCCCGGTGGAAGTATCTTGTAACTCAGTTCGGTAAACTCTTTAGGAAACAGGAAATTGTTAGTCCGGCGCGGAAGGGTGGGCGGAGGAAATGATCGATAGGTGACGGCGGCCGATACTGGAAAACACCGGGACAGCCTCTCGGCATGAACGATGGCAACGACGTGATCTCGCTTATCGGGCAACCATATTACCGAGCCATCAAGACCCCGAACCCCAGGCCTCGTGTTCTTTTTCCCTCCTCGTTCACCGCCGCGACGAAGATGCCCGATGGTCGTTAAGGGTCGTCGAAGAAATATGATATTGCCACCGTACCGACGCTCATTCGTCCGATTCAATTTACGAGGCTCGTCCTGGCAAACGACGAAATTGATAAAGACCCCCGTTGCCGCTGATTACACGCGACGTCGAACTTCTTTTCTTCCCTTTCTCTCAGCCCATCGGCACGGCGTCGACCGATTTACAGGGGCCATTTTCGCGAACGTTCGACGCGATTATTTCGAGGACCGTGGAACAGCCTCATCGACTAGATCTCCGTGTTCGGAGGGGCGTTCGAGTAACCGATAGTTCAGCCTGTTTCGTAAAAGGTAATCCCGCCGGTTCTCCACGGATATCCCCGCGAGAAGCTAAATCACGTCGAGGAGCGAAACGTTTTCGGAGCAAGGCCTCGCGTTCCAGAAAATCCATTTCGAAGACCCGGCGAAGTGCGCGTGCACTAGACTCCATGGACCACGAACCTCGTTCCTCCTTCTCTCCGTCTCGGTGCCATAGAAACGACCCGACCCAAACCAGTCTCGAAAAAATCCAACCATCTTCTCTCTCCCGGCCTCGGCCGCCTCGCCAGACCCGAGACGTTCCGTTCCCGACGCGTCTAGCAAATTCCACGCGGTTCGAATCACGGTTCCGAGGTCCACGGAAGCCACGAGCCGTCGTGGAATCCCATTTCCGCGGCCAAACGCGCGGAAACGCGAGAGGAGAGGAGAAAAAGACGATCCGCGAGGAAATCGGATGGAAATTAGTTTACTCACCGGTACCCACTTGCTTCTCGATGATGTCTTCCCGACGAATGACACCCGGGCCCCTGTCAAACGACCGTTATTATTGCATTTCGAGAGCAGACCGGCCATTGTCAAGTTTATTAGCAGCGCACCGCGCGCGCCTCGCCGCCCTGTTTGCCGAGCAATTAACGAGTGACGATGCTCGAACGACCGTAAGGAGCTGCGGTGCTAATTGCTGCCACCGCTATTGGCCACGGTTGACACTTGCCTGGGCCCAACTGATCGAAATCCCGCGTCTCTCTACACAGGGTAACTCTCTCTCTCTCTCTCACAGGCTAACGACACTTTTCCAGAAACTCTGATTTTCCCTCAGAAATTACCCGATGCTGGATTTATCCCGCGCGTTGACCTCTCGAACCACGAGGAGCCTTGGCTACGTTTCACTGTTCACCGGTATGGTTAGTTATCGCCAGGAACTTCGGAATCGCGTCACGTCTGCGATTTATGGAAAGCTCCCGAATGGTACTTCTTCGAGATGCTGGAATAGTGAAGCTCCCGGAGCGTGACGTTAGAAATTTCGGAAAAAAACTTCCTCTGCTTTTCACCCTCACCCCTCCGCGACACCCTCTCCGTTGGTTCCACGAGTCGATTACAAAGGACCCCTAAAGCTCGAACTTTCGACTAGGGCGAGAGAGAGAGAAGCTCGGGAAGTCGAGATATGCAGTTTGAGCGTCACTGTACTCACACGCGAAAACGAACGAATTTAACAAACGCTGATCGGGGAAGGGAGCCGTGACAAAAAGCAGGTTCGGCGTTCCTCGTTAGCGCGGTAATCCGATCGAAACGATAATTTGCTCGACTTTGCACGCTCGTCCGAACCGCGACGTCAAACAGACCCGGTCCGATTACCACCTGCGGGCTAATTCGACCCGGTGTATTGATCGTTCCGATTCGGAGATCGCGATATGGAGCTCGGCGGAAAATAAACGCTCCGCGGAAGGGAGAGAAGGTGGAGAACAGTTCCTCGGAGCTGTCGATAGAGACGCTTGGAGGCTGGAAAATTGGGTCGCGTAGCGGTGGAAAGAAGCCCGTCGGGACTCGTTCCGAAGTTCCGCGCGACGAGAAGACAGTGGAAGAGTTTAAGGAGAAACTTGAGAAAAATTAGCGTTCGCCATGGCGGGGAAAAATTGGCTCCCGTGCCACGAATTTCCAAGGGATCGATCAGCGCCTCGGCCGCCATTAGCCGCACACGGTGTAAGAGACAATCGATGCACGGACAGGGGACGCTGATATCGTCGGCTAGAACTGGCGAACTGGGCACCGTTTCGTTCACGAGGAATTCCAAACTTCGAGTACTCGAAAGACTACGCTGTAGATTCTGTCGCGAAACTTTTGCAAAATCGAACGTCGAGAATTTTGTTGCTCCTGCGATGATCATCTGATAGGGAGAGTGCAAGTCCTTAGAGTTACAGATTTAGTTGGAACTTTGCAGGTTTGTAGATTTAGACATCCTTTAGAAAGGCAACTACTCAATATTTTTCGAAATATTTATGATTAGAATTTTATTATTGCCTTAATTACTGATTTATTTCGAATATTTGTCAAGCGTTGCAGCCTCGTGGCGATGTACGAAAATTCCCAGGCTGGTGTCAATTTTTGGATATTGCCGTTAGGCTACAGTACCACTTGATAACTATCGATAACTATTCGGAAGAAATCTCTAGTTAAGGATAATAAAGCCTTAATCGTAAATATCTCAAAAACTATGGAGTAGTTGCCCTTATAATGGTACAATTTCTCGAATTAAATGACTAAATCTGCAGAGTTTCAACTAAATCTACGACCCGAAGGACTTGCACTCTCCTTGTGAGTACCAACTATCGTCAATTCTCAGCCGTGTAGGAATAAATCCAAATCGTCAAATTTTATTTTATTTAAAATCCGAGGGTCGTTCTTGAATGAAAACTCGTAGAAACAGCGTGAAATGTCAGGCCGTGTTAACGCAACGCTTCTAATCTACCTTTAGAGGAAGTCGCGCGAGAGTATGATGTCGAAACTGTGGAGCAAACGCGGTGGTAATAATCGGAGACACGAGCGTCGATCGCGTCTCGGTGGTCGCACCGGGTCTCGTCAGAGGCAGCTGGGACGCGACACGTGCGTCGCGACGCCGTGTCGCAGCCGCTTGAACCGGTTTCGTGCCACGAGTATCAGCCGAGTACACGTCGAATGTGTATTAACCGCTTCTCGGCTCGAGCCGTTGCTGATTTACGCGACGTGTGCGGCTCCAGAGACTCTGGCTGCCCGAGGGATAGAGCGGAACTTCGTCGATGACAGCGCGGGGATTTAGGCGAATTCGGATAATTTAGTCCCCGGATCGCTTGTCTGGAACGTCTCGGAACGTTTCTGCATCGATCACGGAACGGAGAAAGAGGCTTTGCCTTTGATTAATTGGCTCGAAAGGATTCCTACAGTGGGCGTGGCGCGATTAGCCTCACTCTTACGTCCCTTCTACCCCTGCCCTTGCTTTCCAGACGATTCCATGGGAAATGGAATGCTCGGTGCTTCCCCTGATTGGGTCAGGTCTGATGGATCAACTGATGGAAGCGTGGATGGAGATGTCTCGGTCGTTGGGTTTCGAAGACACGCGACTCTTCGCGGATATAGCAATTTATTGTCAGCCTAGATCATGGGTGTACAGGTTAAACAGCAACAGCTTCAAGAAAGAAACAGGACATTGATACGCAACGTCGCAGGGCATCTCGGTCCTGTAAGCAACGTCGTAGGAATCGACGTCCACCACGTCCTCGACGTTGCTGAAACAAGAAGAACAAAAATCTTGAAGCTCGCGAGCAGATGCTGAGGAGACATTACGGAACGTTTCAGCAAGGCGTACCTTAATACCAATCGAATGGCGTCCTCCACGAACGACACGCCAGGAGGGCTCAACATCGTCCTCGCCTCGCAGATCGTCCTCAGGACGCACTGTCTCCCCGGCAAATTCCGGCTGAAAAGAATTACCTTCCGCTTCGAAACGCGCCCCGAAGACGAGGAATAAAAAGAGGTCATACCTATCCAACGCCGTCTCGAGAGTGGCGTACAACTCGCGCCGATGGCGTCGTTTCACCATCCACCGTCTCTTCATGGGCAGCTTCTTGCGCAAGTTCTCCTGCAGTATCGGCCAGATCACGTCGAACTCGAAGACGAGGTTCCAATTGCTGGGCAGTTTGACCTGGATCGGTTGCACGAGGGACATCGTCATCTGGATGGAAAGAAAGAAACTGGTCAGGAGCAGGAACACGATCGCTTCCATTAAAACCATCGGTTCGGAGACCCGCAGTGGGACGATTCGAAGACGGTCCATGGCGAGAAGATCGATCCACGCTTCTTTCACCCGTGAACCACGCGATTATCCTGGACCCCGAGCTTCGCAACCCCGAGTACTCGTTTCGTATTCCGTCGAAAACGCACTTTCCACCGGTCCCGCGGCGACACTCGATCCGAAGCGAACTGCCAACACTTACCACGAACGTGCTGCCCTTCGGAAAAGCCAGTCGCCTACGTCTGGACAGGATCTTCTGCGATCTCTGACCGCAGCCGGCCAAGTCGGTGTCATTACGGTGACACGCGTGGTCCCCGAGGACCAGCCCGAGGATCTCGGCGAGAATCAGCACCAGCCACGGGGCCCTCATTTCTTGGAATGGCACCGGCTGAAATCAGCCGTTTCGCGGCGCGGACGAGCTCAGATCTCTCCAGGGAGCAGCCGGCCGAGGAAGTTTTTCAAGCAAGCCAGCAACATCTTTCGCGGTTACGTCGACCCGCGTCGCGTCGCTCGAGTACTGCCTCGCCACGCTGCGATCACGCCTCACTCGACCACGCGTGTTTGTACTTCCTGTTATCGGGCCTGTCTGGCTGCCCCTCGTTACGTGATCCCGGTTTGCCTTCGCCATATGTCTGTTCCGTGAATTTCCTCGAGGTCCTGACTAGGTTTATACAGGGCGATACCGAGGCTAGGAAAACATTGGAAGTTGCGTAAAAGAATACGCGGAATTCGGTGTTGCTTCGAGGACTGTTGGATTTAGGTTACTGTTCCGTTAATAAATTCGAACACAGTCTTTCTTAATAGTTATATTTATATGTTTCTCCTCGCATAGCTGCTTCTTGACTAACACGAGTCGAACCCTCGCGTGTTTACATAGGAATCTCTCCTCTTTCGTCGCACACCGTCTGACTATGCCAATGTGTCGCGATTACCAAAATCCGCGTATACTCAAACAAGGACCACCCGATATTTATTTTCCCCCCTTATTCGTTATATCCGATGACACGCAAGGAGCAGCGTAGTCGCTATCGCCGCGTTATTGCCATTATTGCCATTGCTGCCATTAGCGATATTAAGGAAATACCGAAAGATTCTCCCCCGTAGAAGCTGTAACCAGGTGCAATGATGATTCTCCGCGTGATCGTTACAGTTACAGGATCATTTCAGCGACTGACAACAATAAAGGTAGCGCACGTGTTCGAAATCGCCGGGTAATTAACACTGGAAAGCGTTGGTCCGTGATTACGAGCCTTTCGCGAAGACGACGGTCCGTCCAGGCATCAGGGATTCATTTATTCGCGAAAGTATTGGCCGGCTGTAATTTCGGGGATTCCCCGTGCTCGTTTAAAATGCAGCGACCCGTTTAATTAAGGGCCATCGGGCGGACCAGGGTCGGGAAAATCGGCTCGCCTCGGACATCGGATAAATCACTCGTCCGGGGACTCCGCGACGGGGCGAAAAAAGGAACAGGGGCGGACGGTCGGGGAGGGGGCCCCCCGAAGTGAAATTACCCGGCGTACGGAAGCCACGAGAAGCGGTCAGGATTCTTGGAGATTGGATAACACGGGACGTCGTCGTTGAATATATTTCCGGAGATTTGCGAAATTTAAGAATAGCCCGATCCCGTGGATGAAGATCGACCTCACCCCCGCGGGGATTCTTCGCGACCATCGCATTCCTCGAATGTGAATTTCAAATTCCTAGGAACTGGAAACCGCGGCAGGCGGTTGTTGAAGGAAAACCTCAGCGTCGAGAATTCGTAAGGTCGATCGCTTTGCGAAAATGGCCGACGCGACGTGACAAATTCCATGCTTAATAATTAGACAGGTAGTGGCAATAAAGTTATAACACCAGTGGCACAGCAGCGACGCGAGGTTCAGGTGACTCTAGTGTTTAACACGCGCTTTCTAACCCCCCAGGCACCACGACTCATAAATACATCGAGTTTATTACTTTATCGCCTGGACCGTTAATCACAAATAGACCATTATCTACTTGTCCCTATTAGTAGTCCGTTTACACTAACTTCCACTCTGCGCAACTTGTAATTTTCCAACGATCCGGCGAGCGCGAGAGAGAATCAACGCAGCTTTCCTGGTACGATATTTATATTATAATTATTTTTAGGGTTCGAGAGTGAGCGCGTGAATAATATCGGCCAATTAGCGACTGATAAAATCACGTCATCGAGCTTTGCAAAGGGCATAAAAACAGGAGCCCTGATGACAGAAATAGAGTCCTGAGTGGAGAAGCCTCGAAGAATCCTCGCGAAAATAATTTGTGAGTCGTTTGGTGTCAGAGATAATTGAATAAAAATGTATTTTCCGTGTATCAAAGTTACGTTATTTCACTATTATTTTCTTGCTAATTCTGTTCATTTTGTTCTGTCAAATATCGGTTCGCGTAGACCCTATATTCCTCCGATAAAAGAAGAGATTATTATTCCTATTATTAAAATAAAACCTGTACTTGGCAAACTACGCAATAATAAACTAAATATTCGTATTCCGATATTGCACATTCTTCATAAACAATAAAACATTCGTTTCGTTACTAAAACTTTAAATAACTGCGAGAAACTACTTCGTACCTAACACGTGATATCAAAAGCAGCGGAATTAAATCAGAGTTGGCCGAGAACAAGCTAGGAAAACAATTATAGCGCAAAGGGTTAAACTCTCATCGCTCTTCCCACCCCCTCCAAACGTCCCTGTTCCAATCTCGCCCGGTGCACGAGAATTTACAAGCTCGTTACAATGGAGACAGCAAAACGTCTGCAACACCGGGACCGTCTGGCCCGCGGGAAAATAAATTTCGATCGATCCCGATCGTCCCTCGTCGTCAAAGGGCAGACGCCGCGAGACACGGCGAGATCGATCGTCACGGCAAGACGTTTCCGATCGCGGGTCGGGAATCGTGTCGCGAGACGGCATTAACGAAGCCTCGGCAAGCCTCTGCAGTGTTCTCAAAGGCAAAATTGCGTTACCTGGAGTGTGTGCACGCGCAAACACGCGAGGTACGCGTGTATGCAAGCAAAATACCGAAACCCTGCAATCCCCCGAAGGATGCGCGCTCGAACACGCGTCGAGGTATTATTCCAGCCTGCGCGAGCTGTTGTCCTAGGACTAATGAATCCACCGATAACCATTTGCCCGAGCAACACCGACTTCTGGAATTTCTGCCGATGGACGGGTGTTGCGTTAGATATCGACCGATCCTCGGAAAGAATTCGCCAGACGTGTGACCCACGAGACTTCCGAGTGCGGCCCGAAGCTGCGAATGGATCTCGTTAAAACGATAAAGTGGAATTTTCGAGAGGGAAAAAGGAAAGAAAAAGAAATGTTAAGTGCGTAGGGACGCATCCCTGCTGGCGATGAAGAAAGACACTTTTTCACTCGTAGCCACGTCAAGAGTCCCGAGTCAATGGGGGCCTGGTTCGTGTCTTACGACCACCCCCCATGACTCGCGGACCACGACGATTGGACTAGGCCTGGAACTCTCTGCACAACCCCCCTCGTGCGTAATAAATTCTGATAAAATTTGACACGGTGTTTTCCATTTTTATTTAGTCCCCCGCGATATCCTTTCTAGCGTTTTGACTGTGGAAATAAAAATTTCGAAGAAAATTGCTCAGTCATCGAGTAGCGTGTTTCGTTCGAATGCCATTAGTTGAAATTTCGAGGAACGATTTAACGGGTATAATTTATTTACCACTCGCGACACTTAACAATGTACGAGTTTGGGAAATCGTAACGAGAGACAGCAATCTTCCATTGTCTTCCGGGTCATGAAATGCGAATCTTCATAGGTACTGGTACCATATGAAACGCAGGTCTCGGGTCTCGGAGAAGCACACCGGACACGGCGGTGTCGGTCATGCATATTCGGTAAATTAAGAAGGATCGTGGTCCCTCAGAACATGTCCGGGCATCCGTATTGCGCCTCGTTGCAATTCTCTTTCAGGTAGTAAGCTCTCTCGTAGTCGGTCATTGGATCAGCCTCGTGGTAGCTGGCTGGCAATCTGAAACGGTGGAACTCGGCTGAATGATCGCGCAGCGAGCAAGGTAATTATTAAAGGTAGCGAAGAGGGTATCCCGCCGAGAGAGGGTAAACATTCCGCAAAGCATTCGCGTAATCACGAAGGGGAAGTTGCCGGAACGAAGTCGAAACGAAAATTGTATACTGGAAATTAGACTTTTACCAGCGCTTTCAGTTCGCGTGGAATTCGAAACTAATCGAAACGGCGGGAATTATCGTGGAAAAGTTCGAACGTTTCGCACGCGTACCGTCGGGCTGGTAATTATCGAGGAGCAACTGGAGCGTCTTCCGGATGGAACAACAAGCTTCCGGGTGCGGCCCGCGGAAGAGCCTGTGGAAAAGCCTGTGGAAGAGCCCTTGCAAGAGAGCCCGCGGCTTCTTGCCGCGCCGGAAACTTCATAACGATTATTAAAACGGAGCGACGGGAAAAGTTGTCGAAGGGAATCCCGCGAGTGGTCTCGACGGGCTTTCGAACTTTTCGCCGATGCGCCGGCTCGACGACGTTAAACGTCACACCGGATGTCATGAATAAATTCAACGTGTTATCGAAAAAGTGTAACGCGACCGCCACCCCTGCCAGCAGCTCCGAGCTGCCTTCTCGAGGACGACTTCTCGAAAGACGTGGACGCGACGACACTTTGATGGCGGATGCATCCGTCATCCCCTTTTTCCCCGGCTTTCTTCCTTGACTTTTTTTCATTTTTTTACCATTCTTTATCGTCACCCTTCGCTTTATTCCCGTTAGACCGAGTACGGTTAAGAAAAATTATATTCCGTTTAGGGTTGGTCCGCCCAGTTCTCTCCCCTATCGATCAACGCTCGATTAATCAACGCTTCTCGTTTCGACCATCCCCACCGTCCCTTATTTACGAGCTTCTCGATATTCCTCCTTAATCAATCTTTTTGCTAATCATCGTTTAACCATTCAACGGTGCACACTCTGGTCGTCACCTTCTCGGCGTCTTCACTTTCCCCCGCATCGATGAACACTTGATTAATCAGCGTTTTCCATTCGTCCGTCATTCCGCTGTTCGATATTCCCTCGATCAATCTTCCTAGCGATCGCTGTTCGCCGTATACGATCTTTTGATCCACGGTCGACCAGAAAATTCTTCTAACCTCGTATCGTACGAATTCATCTTCCAATCGACGTACCTTTGTTACTCTATTCGTCTTTGATCGTAAATATTCGTTCTTTTAACTCGTCGTATCGTACCCAAAACCGAGATCGAGATTAATTGCGAATTAGGTTAGGGTACTCACTCGAAGACGGCGTGCAGGATCTCCTGGAAGAAAGGCCGATTCCCAATCTCTCTTCGGCTCCTTCTAGCAGCGTTGCAGATCGCCTTCAAGATGCAGGCTCTTCCATCCTTGCCCCGGCTGCGAGATAGAACAATAGCGGTTAAAGGGTGGTTAAGGGATGGTCAAGGGGTGGCTAAAGGTGCACGCGGATCGTTTATCATTATCAGGCTCGTTATCGTCGCTCGGCTGTCCGTGTGTCGGCGATCTATTCATTAAGTTCGCGATAATACTATCGTGCCTTGATACTGGCCGAGCACGAAGTGGCTCGGTGTAAACCGGGGAACGTTTACAAGCGCTCTCTCCGCCCTTTCCAGCTAACCTCGCCCCATCGTCGCAGTCCCCGTTACTCCACGAGCAAATACCGGCAATTATAGAGCACCCTGGCCCGTGCTATTAAGATTTGGATAATCCACCGCGCAGTCACCGCGCTGGAATTTGCCGCGAATCTTGCAGGACGCGTGGAAGAATTTTGGAGAAATTATCAAGTCCGCGTGTATCAAATTGTATACTACTCGAATCGAAATAAATTCGAGAATGTGGATAGTTTTGCGTGAGAAGCAATATTTCGTTAATCCTTCAAAAGAGACGTCGAGAAGATCATCGAGCAAGGACGTAAAATTAATGGAAATCCCGCCCTCGATGTTTCTACGCCTCTTTGACACTTTGTAGAACATGTAAACCGAGTAAATCTTTAAAGTCGCCTTCGCGTATTCCCTAATCCCTCCATCGCAATATGTACATTTAACGCGACACTCGTACGAGTTAAAAGAAAGAGGAAAGATATTTACTCGTAGAGGGCTTAAAAATACGAAAATACGAGTTTTCCTTGATATTCAAGACCGTGTTTATTCCGCGTCGCCAGTAGCTCCGACCATAAACGATGATGCTCGTAGGGAACGTCTCCTTCTATAATCATCGTGCCGTATATTCTAAACTCCGTGGCTGCTATTAAAATTAGAACAGCCGATGTTGCCGTTTGCCCGTGTTACCGACTAGCAAAACTTGCTGGGAGCTACGCGTACATCCGGTTAAGAAGCCGCAGCCAGGCCAAGAACAATGGAGGACGACCTAACTCGAGCGATCGAGAAAATTCGCCGACACGTAGAGCAACCTGTCTCGATCCGTGGAATTCCGCGCGAAATAATTCCAATGGTGGAAGCGAACGAGAATATTTCCACGGGGAGTCCATGATGCATTTCCGCTGACGGTTTGCCGATTCCACCGAATCGCGACGCGCATTTATTGTCCGGGATAGGCGCGGAACGATCGGACCGGTAACGAGGCGAGCAACGAGGAATCGATTTCGGAACAACGCGGGGAGTAAATGAAACGAGCATAAATATAAAAATTAATCTTGACTGCCATTTGTCGGTGTCGCGACGCGACGCGTCGCGCGGACCCCGATGCAGCGAATTGACAAATGGATACCAATATCGGGCAATCGAAGATATTTATGCAAGCAGCACGCTATGCCCGACCACCAGCACGCGCGAGTACTCTCGATGGCTGTTTTAATCGATCGGTAACGCCTTTCGAGTTACGCGTCCGAGTAATGCACCCTTTCCCAGCGATCCGCGTTGTTTACCAACAGCCACAAGATGGCGGACAGGGTGCAGGACGACTTTGCGTACGAATATAAATGCACGACGTTTCTAAAAGTGTTCATTCCTAAACTCGCGGACCCTTACGCCACCTCAATTATCACTTTATGATCTTATCCTCAATAAAGGTTTGCAAATTTTCCATAGACAGACAATTAATCGCATCCTCCTGAAACTTTACCTGCATCGAAAGACCCGAACCATTCCCTACATTCACCCTCCGAAGACAAAAGACCCGAGTCGAGGAGACAATGGTTTACTTCTTTACGACCAGCGTCTTACGACTAGCGGATACCCGACCTCCTATAGCACCCTCCGAGCCAGTCTCAGTAGGAATTGCAAACCCGCCATAACTAACGGGCAATTAGCCAAATGTATTTAAACCTTCGCCTCCACGGAAAGGCCCGTAGTATCTCATATTCCTATTTTCCACATTCACCCTTAAAGACCGAAGACCCGAGTCGAAGGGACGCGGTGTATTCCTTTGCGACCAGCGTCCTATACGACTCGGGGACACCTGGACCTCCGAAAATACTGTAGGGGGTCCTCCCCCAAGGATTATGGATATCGACCAGTCGCAGGTATCCTCTTATGGTGGTGTAGCTGGAAGGGACGAAAAGAAAAATGAAGGAATGCGTTTCGTCATCAGTAAGCCTACCCTAACAGGCCCTACCTTAGACCGGGATAATATTGGAAGTTATACGTATAGGAATCGAAGGCTTTCCGAGGACTTGCAAGAAGGTTCTCAAAGTCGGAATCCATCTAGTGGCGAGAGTGAGAATGGTGGTCGCTACAATACTATCCGAGTTAACCCTATAAGAGATTAAAATTGCCCTAGGACCGAGAAACAAATTGACAATTTATTTAAACTTCCACTTCCACCTCCACCAAGAACTACCGAACTCCATACCGCTAATGCACTCGCCACCAAGACGCCTTGACGACCAATGACAGCAATACCCGAACTTATAAAACACGCGAAGACAGGAGAGCAGGCACATTCAAAACACCAAACCAACGCTGTAAACATATTCACTCTTGTATCATCTCGAAAGAGATGAAAATCTCGACTAACTAGTTTACGTTTGTAAGAGGACGTAAACCTCGTCTGATCTCTTCCCATTTAAGAAGCACGTTGGAACAAACCAGGAAGTACGAAGAAGCCTTCACGAGGTTCTACGACTTCCTTACGATGACCGAATCCATCATCGAAAGCTTCTCTCAAGATCCGCTGTGAAGTTGAAGCACGCGCTCGAGACGTCACGGTTTCTCGCGCGATCACGCGTCCAAGGCGGCGTTATTCGCGGGGAAACAAAGCGGGCCAGCTCTATGATGCTCCGTTCGTCCGCTCGGCCGTCGAAATCTCGAGGCGTGGCTGGAACCGGAGCGAGAGGAGCCGCTTTATCGTTAACGCGATTCAGAACCGCACAATCGCGCCGGTCTCGCGAAAAGCTGCGGCCCTTTCACCACCCTTTCTCTCTTCCTCTCTCTCTCTCTGCTCTCATCCCGTAGCCCCGACAGAGAAGCAAGCGACGAGAGCTCGATTCGGCAGCGTCGAGCTTTGTTCCGCACGCCAGCTTCTTCTGGACGCTGCCAAAGAGCCGAAACGGTGCGCGAGATGAAACAAGGGCGAGGGAGGGCGAGAGGAGAAGGGAAATAGCGAGCTTTGAGGCGAGCTGAAAGGCACAGGGTCTATCGGTTAGCGTTCCGCGATCGCCTTCCGCCATTTTCGTGGGTCAACGTTTGTACACGCCGGGAGGACGACGGGAAAAGCGGGCCAGGAGGTTCGAGAGCTCGCCACTTAACCCTCCTCTGGCCCTTCGTTGTCGTTTCCCGCGATTATCCGGCGAGAATCGGGCAAGTGGCCGCGGAGAGGGCAAGGTTCCATCGACGGTAAAAATTCGAGACCGTGGAATTGTTTTGCATCCGGAACGCCTCTCGAGCCGCGGCCGAAAACGAAGAGGCCCTCGGGGCGATGGAACAATGCCGCGAACCCTTCGAACGCCGCTGGAACAGAGACTTTTCTTTCTCCGGGGCGAGACAATACCGCGGCAGGCAAAACCGGTTTCCGGCGAGCAGCTCGCGTGGAAATTGCCCGCTCCTCCACAACGATTCTCTCGTTAGAGAAACGCCGGAACGGGGACGGTGAATACGGAACAACGCGTAAATATTCCGCTTTACGCTCCTCGCGATCGTAACGATTCCAGGCTTCGGGGTTGAAGACCGCGTTCGATAAAAATTATTCCACCCTCGAGAGCAAGCTGGCCGCGACGCGGACGAAACAGGCGTAACTCCTATTGGACAGGGCTCGCCGCCGGAAGCCTGGAATCGTAACCGCCGGAGCAAATGCTCGAAAGCTTTTACGAAAAGTTCCGGTTAAAGAGGAATAAAATAATTGGGCCGCTATTAGCGCCGCGGAATTATTCTTTCTCGAGCTGTTCGAAACTTCGGGACGGATTCGCTTTTGTGCCACTCGGCAAGTCGATCTCGCCGAGGAAGACCTTTTACTCCGCGTCACTGTGCTCGCGTGAACCAAAACCAGAGAAATATTTCAACCTCGAACGGATCGATACCTTCGCCTTTTTGCGATAAGACGAGAGGGAGGCGACCTGCATCGTTTTAGATGATCCGGTTAATTGTAAATGCATGGGCCCTTTGCCGGGATTCTCTTTGAAGCTCGCGGCCGACTTAATCGCGTTCTCGATATCTTCCACGGTCGCGTATAGTCGAAGATTTAATTCCGTGGAACGGTGCCGAGTTCTGGAAGAGTGCGCGATATCCGAATTGCTCTCTAAGTGACCGCGGGGAGAGTAAAAGCGCATAGAAACCGTGCCGGCTAACTTCGTTAAGATCCAACGCTGCTCGACCCGTTTCCGATGGAAAGAATCCAAAGCCGCTTCGAAATTTCCAACGCGTTAACAATCGGCATGGTAACGTCCAGGGTGTCCCTCTTCGACGATAGTCAAAGGAGAACTCGCGAATATATCCGTCGCTGGAAATTCCTCGCACCCAAACCCTCTGACCGTCCGACCGTCCAAGAGGAGCCTCGAAAGGATCCGTTAAAAAATTCTCGAGAAGGAATTGTCACGTTTCGACGAATCAGGCGGGAAGCCGGGCCCTCGGGCTTGCAAAGGGTTCCACGTTTCGCCGCTCTTTGATCCCTTCGTGGATTCAGGAAACGTTCGAGATGGCGCGGCGAAACGATCGGCAAACTTGCTCGGAATTCTTCATCGCGCGAGAATATGGGCTCGAATAGGGAATGCCTAGTTGGCAAGACAGATGGACAGAGTACGAAAGTAGATCCGCGTTTCTTTTCCTTCGTTCTATTCCTTTTTACTCGCCACTCACCTTCCCAAAAGCAGCTCCATCTTGCGATACAGCTGCCTTCTGCTTCGACGATGATAATCCCCGAGCTTGCCCGACAGCGTGCTCTTCGAGGGCAGCTGCCAAGCCTGGCCAGCCGTCAGTCCGATCGTGAACAGTCCCGCAGGCTTCGCGTAGGTGCTGATGGTCATGCAGTACACCAGCTGCGCACGATCGAACGTTTCAGATCGGTCGGGAAACCGCTCACGGGAAATACGTGCAAGGTCTACCTCGTGGTTTCCTTGCGGAGGACTAAAGAACTAAAGTACGGTTAGGAATTCTTATGTCTGGCGCAAGGTTCGACTCTTCGAAATTTTCCGACTTGTTTAGCAGTAAGACGCGGAAGCTAGATCGGCGGGGGTGGAAAAGTGAAATGGCAGGGTGAAAAGACGCGGATGGCAATTGCGAGATTGGAAGAGACATCGTCCGAGTGCTCGGATGAATCGAAGGCGACGGGGTTTGATGCTGAGGGCAAAGTCGATGCTGAGGGCAAAGTGTCGTTCGCGAAAAATAGTCCAGCCAGTCAGAGTCAGGGCATCGCGCGGGAGTCTATTGATTCTAAAACACCGGGTTGGATTCGAATTTCCGGTCCCATCAACAATTCATCTCACCCAATTACGAACGCTCGCCGAGGAGCCCCTTTCAGCTCCTTTTAGCGCTTGAATTTTCCATGGGAGAGCTCCGAGCACGACGACGGCAGAGGACTCGCGCGACCGAAACGTAGCCAGGCCAGGTCGCTTATTAGAAACTATCGGAGGCGTCGTTTGCAGCGCAACTTCCGGCCAAGTTATCCAGTTAAGACGCGGCCGAGGACAGACGTGCATGCGCGACTCCCGCGATCCAGCGTTATAAGCAAGTTTTCCACGGTGTAATTAAAGGGAAGTGGCGATGTTCGAGGACGCTCGCGAGTTTCTCGGGCGAGTAGGACTCACTTGAACGTTACTGCCTTCGGGAAACACCAGGTACTTCTCCGCGAATTCTCTTTTCGATCGTCCCAGGCCCCTGTCCTCCGTTGGCTCCGTCGAGGACGCGACGTTGCTGCACCAGAATTCGATCCACAGGATAAGAAACAGGAGACACATCGCGATCGATGGTCCATCGAGCAGTGAGAAATTGCTACGGTCAACGTAGCGAGATTCGGTGAACGTCTTTTTCTATCCAACGGACACGTTAAGTGACTCGAAATGCTGGATGATATAATGACGGGTAATAGTGGTTAGACCGTTCCTCGGCCGTTTAGCGAGGCAGTTTAAGGCGGTGTCGTTAAGTCGCCTTAAATTAGCCGTTAAAATGTACCTGCTCGATCGTGCTCGTTCTTACTATCCTGGGATACGCTTTTTACGATCAGACGGGATCGGTGCGTCTGAGAATACGAGTTCCGGCGAGCTCGCGCGTCAACCGTGGACAGGGTTCCGGCAGGGTACCGATTTTACTCGAATTACAAAAGGAACCTTCTTGGAGGGTTCTTCTTCGGCACTTAACGAGAGATTAATCTCTATCAGGCGTATCGCTGGCCGGTCAGATCCCGAAAAAAGCACCTGCTCGTGGAAAGTTTCACGATACCCGAAACTTGGCCGGGAGCTTTCTCGAAGGCCACGATGGAAGAACAATATGATCCAAAGTACCATTAACCCCGCGGAATCGAAGATCAAGTGGCTCTCATCTAAAATATCATCTCTCCTGGCTTCCGTCGCGAGATCCAAGAATTTTCCGTCCTCCTCCTCGTCCTCTGCGCGGTCATTGAAACCGTAAATCCTACGGCGTAGGGGGCGACGCTGTTCCCTCGGAAGACGCCGGCGACCCATATTCCCGGCGAGGGTTGCGAGAAGCGAAAAAATTAGAGAGCGTCCCCGTCAAATATTAATCGACATCGGCGCACAAGAGCGGGCCGCGATGAATAAGTAACGCAAATGGATTTTCGTCGAAGCAGGCCGCATAAATAGCGGGACTCGCGCGAGGCCAGCAACGTAGGCGAGGCGAAATGAATTACGCGATGGGATCCGCGGCAGGGATTAATAGAAATGGAGGAAAGATCGAGCGGATGATCATTCCGCGCGCCTCCCGAGTAATTAGAACGATGGAGATCGGTGGCCCTTTTCGGGCCGAGAGGGTCGTGGAATTTCGCGTTGGACCAGCCGGCCAAAAATATAATTGGAATCGCCCGGCATCGGGACTGCGCGGAATTGCGGATTTTTCCCGGCCGCGATAAATCTTCACCCCCTTCGCCCCGCACGCCCCCTCCTCCACCGACGGGGTTTACCGTCATACCTCCGTGCACCGTTCTTAATTTTTCAGAATTATCCACGACTCGTATCGATCGCGGATCCCTGTTAATTGCAACCGATATATATGCCCCTTTCACCCTCTACACCCTCGTTGTAATAAAACATCATTGGACGTCTGCTATCTTCGTAATTTAATTTTTCTTTGTCCTATTTTTCAATTTCCAAGAGTTACTTGAACTCGAAGTATCGTTTTTCGTTCCTTATCGTCGATACAGAATCTTGGAGAAGTTAAGTTTTATCCGTATCGCGGGAGAAGTCGCGAAATCGAGTGACCAAATCGAATGAAGAATTCTTAATCAAAAATCCGAGACTTCAGCGTTAATGTAGTTAGTATATAAGTTTGACATTCTTCGTAAACAGTCAGAGATCTTGGAAAATAATTTCGAGGACGGTTTTTCAGTAGGATCGTTCTCTTGATCCAATCTTCTTGAGAGCTTCTCGCGAGTGGACACGAGAAATCTTCTGATAGGAAAGAAGGATAGAATTTGTAGTCAGGGCTGAAACTTTATTTTGAGTTACACGACACAAGATCGCTTTCGCTGATGTGTTTCGAAATATTTCGAATATCCTGTTCCTGAATCGTGGAGGGAACTAAACATCGGTAACGAGGAGTCTTCGCGTTAGTCGGAGACGCGACTTTTATCCATCTTTCCTCGTGAATACAGGTTTATCCGAACCTTTCCCTCATTGAATCGTAAAGGGTACAACAGAGACCAGGTTTTCGCCGGAATTCTATCTTGATTCTTGCAGTGAATGCATTTGCATAATCATACCGATTCTACTGGCCTACATTTGCCCAATGATACGGGAATCATGATCTGTTGGCCGATATTACAACGTTTTAATTAATACTAAAAATAAACCGCCATTCCGGATTCTCCATTAAAGCGCACACGTTCGTGTGGATGGCAGGAACATTCGAAATTGCATAATTGGAAGGTTAATACGTTAATAAACAGCCGCGGATGCGTTTAATTGTTTCCCACCGTTCTTACGGCCGTTGGGGTATCCTCGATTTTTGCTCGCTATGATATTCCGCCTATTCTATTTTGACGTCGTAACGTCAAAAAGATTCACAAATTGCAACGTGACTTTGCATTCGAGAAAATCGAGTAGAAATTTGGATTTTTATTTCCTTTCCCCTCCGTTTTTCATTCAAACCGACGTACCACGCCAAGTTCGTTGCAACGTGCGTTAATGTATTAATTAAACAACGCGAATACGCCATATTTGCTGGTTAAATATTGGACATTTGAATAACACCGGTGATATTTCACCTTCTTTTTCATTCCGCCGCTGTTTTCCTTCCTTTTTCACTGATTTCCTTTCTCTCTTCCCGGCTACAAAAGGGCAGAGGCCTGCGCCCGCCAGTATAGCACTCTGCCGAAATGAACTATAAATCCGCGGCCACTCGGTTGACCATTTTGTTAATGCAAAATGAATTACGCGACGCCGACGGCGACGCCGACGCTAGCCGCGGTACGCCGACGCCCGATGAAATATACGGCTGGCGAAAGGTCGACCGTGAAATCTTTGAAATCCAGCCGTGAAATCGCCACATCGAAACGCGCGCGATGCTTGAGGGGGAAGAGAAATGGAGCACGGGGGAAAATCTCGATTCCATTAAAACCATGGGGACAAGGGATCATCGGCGTTTCGCTTTGAAGCATATCGATATTGCAGATTTTCCATCGCAAGCGTTTTCTTTTACAATCTCCTCGACGAATAAATTTTACAGATCCTTAACGAGATTTAAAAATCCTTTAACCCTTAAAACCTACCGAGAATATAAAATTTCATACTTAATTTGCAATTATTTACTTAGGCTACAGAACGAATCGATTCCCCAATATCTTGTGCCACAACCACCGAATTACGAGTGCCAATTTTTAAGGATTAAGTATTCTCTAGCTAGATCAATTCCAATTTAAAAATCCCCTCCCCGAGCCTGAAAATTTCCCATAAGCAATATTTCACCCCAAACGAATTTCATTTTAATTTGCAACATTGACAAGAGAAATTAATTCTCCGACGCACTTTGCAATAACCTTATCAACCCCTGGGAATTATTTCCGCCAGCGTTAAGGGTGACACGCGCAGTACCCCAAGCAAGACCAATTGCTCTTTCGAGGCTTACCTATCGTAAATAAAATAACCATCTGAAATTACACCCTGGACCACGGTCATCCAAAGTCCAACTGCCAATTGCCCAAAACCTATTACCTCCCTAGCCCAGATATTTCCTCATCACGTCGCACGTGTTGAATTTTTTCCCCTAACATCCTCAAACCACCCCGAGAATACTTGGTAACCCAGCTAAAGTCTTCATACACAGAGAAGATCCTGTGTAACGGCGCGGATGGGGGTTGAAATACGAAGATCCACGCAAGTTGGCAGCACGACGATGCGGAGCGGGTTCCGAGCCGGGGACGGAAGATTATGCGGCGCGGCGGGGTACAGGCTGAAAAATCGGCGTGGAACGGGCGAGCGGCCAGGAAAACTTCGAGGGCGGCACGTCCGCCGTGAAACGCGGTCAACGTTTGCACACGCATACGAATGCGTCCAATCCCGGTGCTTTGGCCTCAGAACTCGAGCTCGTAAATGGAGTGGCGGCAGGTCGGATAGAGCTGGCCGCAATTCTCCCCGCTCCCGTACGCGTGCTCGTAAGCTTGATCCTCCGATCGCTCGAAACGCCCGCCGTCCCTGGGCAGTCTGGAAAAGGAAAAGGAGGACTTTAAGGTGGCCGAATGAAACCGACGAGGCGAGATTGCCTGGCCGAACGGAGCCATGATCTCGTGCTTCCGGCGCTGGTTACCTGGCCAGACGATTCTTCTGCTCCCGTGAATGCCTCGTGGACCATCCCCGATTCCCACGAACGGAATAGGTCGGGGGTTAATGTTTTATAAGGAAGGCGATCGATTATGACGTGACGCGACGCGATGATTTATTCGTTGCAACTAAATCGGTTCGCCAAACGGTGGTTAACCGGTTACGTGGATCCAGCAGTCGCGATTCGATCGTTTCGGTTGATTAATCCGTTTAATTGATTACGTTGGCCCGCCATACGCTTTAGTTTCATGGTCGCAGCGATCGACTAACTGCTCGAATTGGCCTACTCGCTGTGCCTTGTCCGCTGATCGTGTTATTACCGGCTGCACATACGGATATCCGACCCTTTTTCGCGATCCGATGCCTCGTTTAATATTAACGTAAATACTTCGATGAATATTAACGATGTAATTACTATACGCCGCCTCGTTTCGCATTCATACGTCGCATTTGCTATTGATGCAATTATGAATATGAACGGCAGTTCCGATACGGAGGAGTGATCCTGTTTTTTCGGCATCATGCGAGAACTCGAGCGAATTTCTGATACTCGGTTACTACCTTCTATATACCAATGGTGTATAGAAGGATAGCGTAGTACTCACGTAAAAATGGCGTGTAGCAATTCCTGGACCAGGGTCCCCTTGCCAAGATCCGAGGGGTCTCTCCGAGCAGTCTCGCAGAGTGCTTTCATCACGCAAGCTCGTCCATCCAGACCCGTTCTGTGGACAAACCTTCGACTGAAACACTTGATCTGTCGCGAGAGGTTCGAGGTATCTACTAGAGGACGAGTGGAATCGGTGTTTCTGGTAATAGAGCGGTAAGACTGACACGGAGTTCTGGAGAAGCCGCGTAGAGGAATGTCAATCGAGTCCTCTGGTCGCTCTAATGGCGTTAATTAAATTCCTACGCCGAGGATTACGTTCCTAGGAGGTGATAGATGCTCGGAGGACCACTCGCGAACGTCTGTTCGTAAAACGATGTATCAAAGGACAAGTATCGTGCTGCGGCTGTAACAGGGTAGAGACACGAGTGGAGAACGGTGAACGTTTCCGCGATATCGCGGGCCTTTCTTCCGATGCTGTACGTTCAAGTACCGGAATATTTCACGGCTTTACGGTCCTTTGAATAATTCAACCTATTACCCGGCGTCTCTTACTTTAATATCGGAAAGTCTAATATGTTGACGGCGGCGTGATGTAAATACGAATACGCGAAAGAAAGGGAATGCGTTATATAACGGGACGGAATCAAACCAGGCGTCTTTCTGTTTCGTTATTCTCGCACGTTCCGCATGAAAATTCCTGCGCCTGCCACGCATTTGCATGTGCCGGCCGAGGAAAAAGGGCTCCATTTGCATGTTACGTCACGCTTCGGGGACGAATGGGAATCGAGCTTTCGCCGGATGAAAACAAAAAGAGCAGAGGAAAGCGGGAAAGGCTGGGAATCCTTGAGCTTCCGTGTCACCACCTTCCGCTTCTAGCGGTTCAACACTCTGTTTCCTGGCTAATTTGGAGGAATTCCGCGCCCGCGAGTAGTACGAGTCGATAATAATGGTAACCGACGCAACGAACAGGCGGAGGCCCTGCGGTGTCTGCGAGGTGAGAAAGAATTTTGCGAAATAGAAGGGAAGCGAGATTCGATCTACCTTAAAGTACCCCCGAATGAAACAGACAAGGACGATGTTCGGTGAATCGAGGGAAACACCGAAACTCGAAAGAAACTCGCGGTAAATTGGCTTACTTACGATTGCAGCAAAGCCTCTATTTTCGGGAACACGACGCTTCTGCTCCTTCGATGGAGCAACTCCGATATCTTCGAGTCTACTTTGCTCGGCAGCTCCCAGGCCAGGGCCGCCGTCAGTCCCATCACAGCGTCGTTCTCCTTGGCATAGGTTCCCACCGTCAGACAGAAGACCAACTAGAGAACAGAAAGGAAACGTTGATTCTCCGTTCGTCGTAAATAATAAACTACATCCGGGGAAAAATTAATACCAGAACTACTTGGACTTTTCATCTCTGCAGTTACTACAAACCTGTACCTGCCTTTAGCAAAATTAACGTTGACTCCTACTGTAACAAAAATATAACTATATATATATCTACTCGTCTTTCTCTTACCACTAATATTGTAGGAATTGTTTATGTGGCAGCAAAACGACGGTGGTAGATAATAAAAAGGTATAATTTATTGTGAATTAATTTAAGACTTATTCTAAACGCTATGACCTTTCACACTGACTATCTCTCAACGAACTCTTCCCAATGAACTCCATCCTCAGAACTCCTCTCAAAGAACTGTCAAAGAACTGTATCCTATGAACGCTCGAGCCAAACCCAAAACCGCTGTTTATTATCCTGTATTTTCAGGGAAGGGTCCAAGCGTTCTCACGCGCTTTACAGTCATATCTAGACAAAAGGGCATTGTCACAGACGGTGGTCTTATGCCCTAGTCACGCCACGCGCACAAGTCCTATAATATTTCTAGACTAAATTTAAGTACAAATTAATTGCAATTAAACAAAAATAAAATAGCTGTAAAATAATAGAAATTAAGCAACGCAAAGAGAGAAACATATCTATTAAGAACATTTCTGGAGATAAATTCCCTTCTTCCGATTATCACATTAAAGCTAAAGTTTGTGCAATGTCATATAAAATTGTCTACCCAATTGATTCTTTCTGTAATATCATGCTGCCATACTTAACCCTTAGAGTGCTGAATACTCGCGGCCTATGTGGTCCGTACGGACGACGCGCAGCCATCGCTGACGATCGCTGTGGACGGAATACTTTTTCGCTAGACTGAACTCTGTCGATGAACTATACTAAGCGCAAATCGTAATAAGTTATAGTAATTCTTTCGCACGAGATTAAATGATTCAAGAGCGTTATTTTTTAGTATTAATTCTTTATTATTAACATTGAAATTTAAAATAAACTAAAATTTGTGTAATAAAATAGAAAACAATAAACTAGAAAACTAAATTTAATAAATATAACGGAAGTCAATAATTCAATTGTGCGTGGGAAATTTCAAAACAATTATCAATACATAGACGCGAGCGGGACCGTGAGGTTCTTGCATTCACAAGACCATACTGCTAACTGAGTCGAAAATGGGAAAATGGGATTTCCGTTTCGGAAATTCCCGGGGATTTTTATGACCCTAATATTGCCCAACCGCTGCCTAAGGAAGGCAAATTACTAACGAGTGCCCCTGTATTAATTTTACACGAAAATAACCGCATATTGATTGAAAAAATCGACAAACGCATATATGCGCCCTTAGTCCAAGCCCATGACTTAGAGAAAACACATAAATGCGGCCTTAGGCTACACGGATGACTTTCGCCAAACGCATATATGTGAGAGCTGTAAGGGTTAAGGGAGCAGTAACGAGTCTTACCTGCAGATTGCTGCCCTCGGGGAAGATCAGGTACCTCTTCTTCCTGGACAGGGACCTGGGTGCGTCGATGGCGGTGTCCGCGGCGCAGATGGCGAGGAAATGGAGGCACGCGAGGGCGAAGAAAAGACCTCGGATGCCCGGCATCCCTTCGGCGCGGCCGCGACGCGACTTTCCGCTCTCATGCGTTCCGCTTCGAGACGCTCGGCACCGCGTCGAAAGGGAAAGTGTGGAACGGAACTCGAACGCGAGGCTCCCCTCCGCGACGAACTCGAATGAACCAGACGAGAGCGTGTCCGCGAGCGATTTTAACTCGGCCGGAATGCCCTCCACACTGACCGACAGGTTTCTCGAGCAAACGGGCAACACTTTCCAGCGTCGGCTAACGGGAACAACGTGCCTCCCGTGTTTTTCCACGGGTCTAATCAGCCGGCAAACCACGCGCCGACAATTCCTTCGGCAAACGAAATGGCCACGCCACGCTCCGGTCCTCTTCGTTGCCGAGTCCTCGAGCCTGCTTCGAGATCACCGAGATCGCTCTAATGAACCAGCCGAATGTCTGGGCCGTTGATTCGAACGGAGGATTTTGGGTATCAGCGATAATCGATTCGTTTAGACGATTTAGATCAACCCAGTTACGCCTTGTTACCGGACGTCCGTTGGCATGGGGTTCCTGAAAAATGACAGATACGTCATTAGTGCAATTTCTTTCTTTAATTAAAAGAATTCAGAATTTCCGTGTGTTCTGGAATTATAGTAGAATATAAGGTTAAGAGACTGCTTTGAAGCAGGTCTTTTGGACAATTCCTTGGAGCAGAATTTGTTGACCAGTCAGCTGTGTTTGACGACTGTATCCGTCATGGAGAAATGGCAGTATTTTGTGTCAAGACGTTTGCTATTTAAATTGTAATTTTAGCAAAAATTAAAATATATTCGCAAATTTTATTATGTTTAGAATCCTTGGAGATTAAGACGAAATAAAACAAATAAGTAAAATGTATAAATAATTTGAGATGTTTTGTACAACCAATTTATACATGTATCGCGATAATGTTTTTCAGATGTTAGTGTGAAATGCGTGAAAGGAAAAGTCGAAAAGCAATTAGCCCAGAGCTAAAGTCTGAGCCTGATTTATGATACGGTTCCTTGAAGGATGGTCCGTCATGCTTGATTTTTCCTGAGTTTCTCGTTTATTATGTACGTAGTACAAGTTTGTGCTAAGTGAATTTAAATATTAGTAAATATTAGTAATAAAATTGTTCATTTTACACAATAAAGCCGTCTTTCTGATCCAATATTTTACCCTCATTTATTCTGTGTTTGATAACTATACCTGCCATAGCTTGATTCTCGCGACAAGTATAGACGCGTGCTCGAAAAGGAGATCGCCACAGCTGACTGGTTAAGAATTCACGTATTCTAGAAGCTATAGAAGAAACTGAGTAAATTACGTCATTGCAGTAGTAAATTGAACAAGTACCTACCAATGTGCACGTACGTACGCGAGCGTGGAAGAGGTTAGAAAGAAGCGGGACGAAGTTTTCGTTTAAAAAATTGGGTTAGAGAAGCTATTCCCTCCCTCCCGCGCTGCTCATCCTCTCGTGTCTCTCCCATTAACTTTTTGCCTCGCAAAAACTCGTATTATCCTGCTCGTTATTATAAACAAGGCTACAGCCACGTCCGCGTGGCAGCAGATTTTATTCGAAACTGCGACGACAATCAGAACCACGTTCAGAACGGGACGTCCAAGACAGGCAGGGATTGCTTAAAATATAGGCCAGGCACAGTGCAAACGAAACGCGGAGAGACTCGGCCCGCTCATTGTACTTTTAAATACACGCTTATATTAATTCATACTGTCTTCGCCGGGCAGAATGTTGCCCTTCTGGAAAAAGTGGACGGCCGCGCGAGAAGCGGAACGGCAGGGATAGAGCTCTTTTTCACCGGGACGACACTTATTTCCTCATTTCGCGGGCCATAGCGGCGGAACGAGCGTCTGTTAATTGCATATGGGAGTTGCGCGCGCGAGCATGACACACCTAACCCCTTCACCGGGGCCCTCGCCACCCCGTGGCAAGAAAACCGCAGAGCATTCTAAATTAATGCTTTTCGTTAACGCGTGGCCGCCGGCCTCTGACATGCACGCAATTATAACTGCTCTGTCGCCGCGTGTCAGCGGGCTTTCGTCACCTCCGAGCCGGAAATCAGCGAGAAATCCGCTCGTACGTCTCGCACACCACGCTGGTGACGTCGACCGAAGGAGCAAGCATATCAAGAGGGATCTATTCGGTTCTGTCTGGAGTGGAAATTGCTGGACGAATTCCGATTCGATCGGAGAAAGATTTTAATTTCTTCGTACAGGATATTCGATCTTAGCTACGATTCGTAAAGATTTCACGGATCCATGAAACTGTCGATGTCGATCAACTCGAGAGGACAGCTCCTGACGTGGACGTCGCAGTAGAGTGGAGCCACGGATGAACCGTTGGTCGCGTACGATCTGAAATTAACGCGTCGATTAACGCGTCGTCCGCTCTAGATCGGCATCTTTCCGCTTACCCGGCCAGCAGTTTGAATATCTTTGCGATCACCCCGTCTCTCTGGCTCACGTAGTCCATCGCCTGACAGATGTTCTTCAGCAGACAAGCTCTCCCGTCGAATCCGTGGCTGTAACATTCGTCAAACATCCTTCTATTGCCTAACCGTGAAGAATCGTGACAGGGGGGACGTAAGAATAGGGTCCGGTATTGTTGTAACTCGCCTGGCTGTTGGAGTCGAGGGATCGATGGACCTATGGACCTCGTCGGACGCGAAGAGAATCGAAGGGACGAACGAGGGAGGAAACGGAGAGGAAGAAAGGAAGCGAGAGCAAAGGGACGAACTGCGGAAATCGGTCGCGCTGCGGCATTGGCCGATCCGTGACCTAGGCCGGAAACCGTCGACAGAACGGCCAGAAGCATCCCTTTTCGGCGAACCCTTGGCCCGGCGTGGATCGTTGGCGGCGCACGGGGCAATTTGCCGGGCTGCACGACTTCCATGCCGGCAGACACGGATCGGTACCATCCCCTGCATTATTCACGGTCTATTAAACTATTTATTACCTCTCGTAGACGAGCTCCGCCGCTCGGTGAACGTCGTAGATGGACCTGCCGATCCTGGTGGCAGTGGTGCCGCTTGGAAGCTCCCATACCAGCTTGAAGCCGGACGCCTGGGCGAAGATGGTCGTGTAAGAGAACGAGGTGATCTTGTAATTCACTCTATACTGAAAGCAAAGGCCGACCGGTTAATAGTTGGCCACAGTTTCGAGGGGGGGGGGGGGGGGATCCAGGTGTTGGGGGGAACGGGGAACTTCGGTGTAGCTTGATTGTTCGACCCTGATTGCGCTGCGCGCCCGATGATACGTGATAGGAATCGAGCGACTTTGTGATCGATTCGAGGTGGTGGTTTCGTTGTGGTTTGGGTCAGAGGACGTGAGTCGGTGCTAGCGCATGATCGAAAGCGCCGACCCTCGGAAAAGGAGTTAAAATTTCATATTGAAAAGAATAGGGGGCGGGACGGTGGCGACTTTGAAAATAATCCAATATCACGGCAAGGAACGCCCGTTTCCAATATCCAGTGGACAAAGTTGGGAAAAACGAAGAGGAAAAAATGGAAAAGGGAAGAGAGTATGGGAAAAGGAGGACACGGCCGTCCACGTATGGCCTGGCTGCAGCCTAAAATTTCAATTTCGAATCGACAACAGCATGCAGAGGGTAAACTCGATCGACGTCCGCCACTTTCGGCTTACGCTGCCGTATCCGAAAGCAAGGAACAGGCTGGCACAAAGTGACAGGGCAGGTGTTACTGGCTTCGCTGTTTCCCGTTAAACCGAATATCGTCCAGGTATTGGCTTGAACTGCGCAGAAGCCCGCACAGGGTGTCGGTTGGCTGTGGCAAGTCGTTTATCAGGGAAACGGCCCTGCGACTCTCCCTTTCTTGGCCCTATTACCAAAACCGAAAATAAGCTTCGTTTCCCTCTCTCCTTCCCGAGAGAGATTAATCTCTTCGCCGGGCCGGATCCTCGAAGGATCGCGAATTCATAAGCCGGAAAATAAGAAGAATATAACGCGCGTTGCAGCCATCCTGCACAATCCTCTGGCGAACGTATGAGCGTATTCAGGACTGTCGAAAGAGGGAACGATGATAAATCGCGGGGATGTTTCCGTGACGTACGCTCCGGTTCAATTTTTAGGGGCATCCTCGAAGTCACCTCGAGACTCTTTACCCCGGCCTTTTGTTCCTGCCCTCCGACGTGTCGTAATATCGCGTGTATCCTCGCGTCTTTCGACCACTACCACGGAAATCCATCTCTCGTTCAACGAAATTCCGTTCGTCTGAAAACATCCGGAATTCCGTCGGGAGTGCACGTCCAAAGATTAGACGTCTCGCTGGATCGAGTATTCTTCAGTCCCGGATAATTTCATCGAAAAATAATCGATCTCTGCATGGAACAGGGACCAGGATTCTTTTGAATCCTCGAAAGAACCCAAAGCATGCTCGTTATCGAATAAAACGCAACGTGATGCCGCACTTTTGCGCTTTATTATTGCTGCACTGGGCTCTAGCCTACTCGGGGGCTGAAGGTCTGGTTTATCGATTTATGGACGGTGATCTGGAATTCAGCGGCTGTCTCGTACATTACAGAGGTGTATAGTGCACGTGCAGCGGCAGCATCGTCGATACCAGGCTGCACTTGCTCGTAAGTGCACTGGATCATCGCCGGCTGCATAATTCTTCCAGCGCGTGCACGCGGAATGGCTGGAAATGCAGCCTAACGGCGGCTGCACCTGGTGCATTCCT